AGTTGAAGTCAGACGCTTAACTGACTGAGCCACCCAGGCGTCCCTTCACCTTCCTAGTTTAAAAAGATGGTGGGGATCCCGGGTATTCAGGGACGTAGAGATCCCTGGATGAAATAGGAAGGGAATCCCAAGTTGAGTCCCCCCAAATCATGGGATTGTGTGGTGCAGGGGAAAGTTCTTGGCTGGGGGATGGGGGACAAGAGTGGGAAGTATGGGATTATGAGCTCCCTGGCTCGAAACTCCAGCTCCCCGACTGGAATTTGGAAGGCCACGGCTGTGAACTGGAGATCTCTCGTGTTTTGAGGCTCCAGCGTTAGAGGGATCAGAATTTCAGGTTGGATGTGTAATTGGAAGTCCTAACATTGGAGGTTAGAATCTGGAATCTCTGGTAGGGAATTTGGGGACCTTGTGATGGCCCATGAAGGGGGAATCACAGACTTCCTGATTTGGGGGTTTAGGGTTCAGAGCACTGATCCCTAGTTTGAAAGATGGTCTAGGGTACTCTGGCTAGGGTGCTGAATTGAGGGGGTGGGCGGGTCCCAGCTCATGGTTTTGACATTCTGGAATCTCTAGCCAAAATCCAGGCTCCAGGTCTCTGAGTCCCAGTGTTCTGGGATCCAGCAGCTTGAGATGGAGCCCCAGCATCCCAGGTGAACCTGCCTGGATCTGGGATGGGGGGGATTAGGGTTCTGGAATCTTACATCTGAGTCATGGGCCACGATCTCAGATTGAGGTATCAGATTGAGTTATCAAATTGAGGTCAAGGCACAGGAGCAGAGTCAGAAGGTCATGGGGTCAAGGTCCTGGTGTCAGAATTGGGTATTACATGTCAAGAGAAGAGTCCAAGTGTTTTAACTTGGGCAGGAGCCTCTGCTCAAGGTCTTGGTTAGTGGGTCCTCGGTTAGTGGGACCCTTACTTAGGGTTCTTCTTGTTAGTGACCCACTTGGGGGATTTCTGGTAACTATTTAGAAACAGACTCCGAGAGAAAAGGGTTAAGGTACCACGAGTCAGGATTGGGGAGATACACCTGGTTCTTGTGTTGAAATGCCTGGTCAGTGTAAGTTTGAGTCATGGGACCAGGCTCAAGGTTAAGGATTCTGGTGGGGGGCTTGGGAAAGGGCCTAAGTTTAGGGTTGGAGGGCCTGGTTCTGGCATTGAGAATATGGGAGTTGAGTTTCTAGTCAGAGTCATGATATTTGGGACCCAGGTCCAGACACATGGTCCAATCTCTGGATCTGGGCTGAAGGGTTACAGTTGAAAATCTTATTCTGGGGCTGGCGATCTGGTGTGGGGCCTCTCATCAGGATCCAGAACACAGGTGTCAGGTGTGGGAAGGCCAGGCCTGGGGTTGAAGGTCAACAGTTGATGTCACTGGTTCCCATCCAGAAATGGGGTCATGGGTTAGGGCACAGAGGTCAGAGCCTGGGTCCAGTGTCCAGGTGTTTGCTTGGGGTTGGGGAATCTAGTTAGCCCCACCAGGGCTCTCCAGGACAACAGCTTTCTGTCTCTCACTCAGGCCCCGCAGGGCGCCCCCCGCCGCTGACGATGAGTCATTGCAGCAGCCGCGCCCTGACCCTGCTGAGCAGCGTGTTCGGTGCGTGTGGCCTGCTGCTCGTGGGCATCGCGGTCAGCACTGATTACTGGCTGTACATGGAGGAGGGAACGGTGCTGCCACAGAACCAGACCACGGAGGTCAAGATGGCCCTGCACGCAGGCCTCTGGCGAGTCTGCTTCTTTGCAGGTACGGACCTCACCTGCCGTCCATTCAACTGCCCCTGCCTTGCCTGGGACCCAAGAGCCCTTACCTGTACTTCTATCCCTTGGGTTCCAGAAGTCCAGAAACTGGTCCTGTTTTTCTCCTGGAGACCCGATCTCTAGCCCTTGATGTCCTGGATCTGAGAGCCCCATGCTCACCCAATTCCAGGGTCCCTAATACCTGGAGAGTCCATCAGTCCTTGTCTCCTGGACAGTTCCAGTGTTGAATGGGCAGAATAAAACCCCTGTCTCTCC